CATTTGGGTTTTGTGGGTTAAAACCAATTGTTTGTTTGTATAATTGTACTTACTGTATTATTTTAATAAATTGTTATTCTGACTTATAATCTCTCCTTTGAGTTGAGTTCATTTCCCCTGCTGGTTAACTCTTAAGCCAGCACACGCAGATACAGCTTCTCTGGTAACTGCCACCACCAAGTACTCTAGCTCCAGTGGGGGCTTTCTCTGTGTGGTGCTCAGGGGCAGAAACCACATGCATCTCTCCAGGTTTGTGTCCAGAGGATTCAGGCACACATGTTCCACAGCAACCTGTAGCACCATGGGGCTGAGAGGTCCCAGATCTGAGTCTTGCGCTGCCTTGACTCAGCCTGAGCTGGTGGACAAGCTCCCGGGGCTCCTGGGGAGCAGAGTGTTGCAGCCACAGCAGAGCCAGAGGAGGGGAGGCGATGGATGGTGGGGGTGGGTGCAGCCTTCCAAACTCCTATCTCACTCTCTGTGGCCTTTCTCCATGCAGCCCCTCATGCCCACGGGATTCCCAGCCTCATTGCACTCATTGCCTCACCTCTACCTGGCCTGGTCCTGCCCCATGGGAGGCACCCAGGAGGGAAAATCCTGTGGGGTCTGAAACTGCCCTCACTTGGGTGAGCTCAGCCTGGGATCACTCCTGGCTGCTCACCATTCGCAGCCCCTGGGAGGACAACAGTGGGGGACCACACACCCCGGAACCCTGGATTCTCCTCAGACAGCTACACCAAGATCTGGGTTAAGTTTCTCTTTATTTGGCAAAAAGTAGGGACTGTGTGCTGGAGAAGCAGGGATTGTGTCAAAGCCTTGACCACGGAGCTCGGAAGAGGGCTGGTGGAACAGCAGCCTGGAGCTTCGAAGTGTGGGTCTTGCATTGCTTGGGAGGAGCATCCACGAGCCAGCCCACGCTTCCTGGAAAACATCCAGGAGAGGCAGGCTGAGTAAGGCAAGGCCAAGTGGGGCTCTCCATCGAGATCACTGAGTTCTTCTCCAGTTCTCCCCATCTCTGTAGCGTGAGCTACATCCAGCAATGGATTTCTAGTTAATGCCTACAGCTGTGTGTGTGTTGGTGTGGTGGCAAAGCACATGCCAGGGTGGGCCAACAGCAAGCACGTTTCGTGTGGTGAGACACCAACCCACTCTGGCCAGGTTTGCAGGTCCATGAGCCCAAGGTCCCTTTGGCAGGAGCCAGGTGTCCTGGCCCTACTGCTGGAGGGGCTGTGCAACTGGTTCTCCACTGATGCGGTGGTTTCGGCTCACATGACCTTGTTCAGTGCCGGGCACTGCTCCCTGGGGGTCCCCACTGCAGAGGAGCACCCAAGGGAATGGTCCTACCTGAGTACAAGCTCCAGCACAGGTTCAAACAGCTCAAGCTCAGAGGAATTCAAAGAGTTCTTGGTGGTCCTTGCTGGGGCACCAAGAGGGACAGTTTCCAGAGGAGGACATTGCAAACACCATGTTGCACTGCAGCAACTCACCTATGGTCCATCAAGTCTGCATTCGTCTGTGAAAGTAAAGAGAAAGCCTGAATCCGGTGCTGTGGTCTGACTAGCCCGATTTAGCACCCAAAATAGACAACCCAGAATGAACTTGAGCAAGGAGAAAGCCACAGTGTGCCAAGTCAGAGCACCTCTGGCTGCCAGCACTCTCTCACACCAGTTCAGACCACAAAGTGGTGGCAGTGATAGGCTGAGTGATCCCAGCCTGCACGTCCCTGTATCGCCCCTGGGTAGTGCTCACCCTGTCTGGGTAGTATCCAGATCATCTCGTCGCTGAAGCCCTCCATCTTGGCAAACGTCTTGAACAGGTCTGTGATTCTAGGTCTCACCCACCGGGTTCTGCCTAAAGACAAAGACATGAGTTAGCTCCAGGCTGTGCCTGTTACTGCATCTCCTGGGCACCTGGCGAGCACAAGGATGGGATGGATGGCAGTCCCTGGAAGAAGGTTGGAGGCACTGATAGAGGTCCTAGAGAGACACATGAGACACCCCACCCAGGGGACAAGACAAGGCAGAGGTTCGTGTCCCTGCTGTTTCTGCCCCACCTTGCAGCAGAACCCCCACTCTTTCACCACACGACTTACCCAAGGCCACGGACTCCCAGCACAGTGCAGGAGCCTGAGCCCCAGCCTCCCCTGCACCCCAAATCGCTATCTCTTCCCTGCCACATGGGAGGCACACGGCAGCCCCAGCCCTGCTCCTGTGCCCCACCCAGAGCAGAAGTGAGGAGGGGGTCTGTCCCCTGACTCCTGGCCTCTCAGGCACCCTGCAGGCACCCTGACACCTCTGAGTGGTTCACCCCTGTTGCAGCACCGCTGGCTACGCACTGTAGAGTCTCAGCATATGCAAGATCTTCCCCTCCTTCTCTCTGGTGGCAAAGATAATCACATAGGTCCTGCCATCGGTATCCACCAGCTGTGCTGTCTTATTGCCTCTGTCTGCAAAAGGACATGGAGAAAAATTAATTACCACCTCCTGGAAACCCCCATGCTGCAAAGGGGCTATAAGAGTGTAAAGCCCACCCAGTCTGTCTTTCCTCGGTGTCTCTCTGTCCTGGTTTTCCCTCTTGTTAAGGCTCCTCTGAAAGCCTGGGGGAGCCCACAGACTGCAGCAGAGCAGAGGGATGGGTAGGTGAGGGCAGGAAGGGCCAAGGATGGTCACTGCAGGCTGTCGGCCAGTGTCAGACTGACCCTTGGGGTGGGGATGGTGGGAAACAACCCCTTGCTTCATCCCCTGAGAACATTCACCCACAGCCCCTTGGCAGAATGAACCTGCTTTTCCCCAGGGTTTAAGCTGAGTGTGAATGTGTTTATCCCAGAGGGAGGATCTGGGGGGTGTTCTGCCATCTGCTGTGTCACCAGCCCTGACACGGACTGGCCCTGGAGTGCAGCTGGCACCTGGACACAGAGGGATGTCCCACCCAGGACCCAGGAGGGGCAGGCAGTCCTAAGGGCCATGTCACCGGGAACAACCAGCTGCTTCAGACAGGGATGATGGGACGTGCCTCCCCGCTGCCCCAAGAGCCAGGCTCCCCCCACTCACCAGAGCTGTAGTATTCACCCGGAATGCTTGTTGGTTTGTAGATCGACTCAAATTTCATACATCTCTCTGGGCTGCAAAACAGTGAAGGATGCTCCAGCATACAGGGAAGTGACTCCTTTTCCCTCCCCTGCTCTGGAGTAGCTACCCCAACAGTGGGACTCGCTGTTCAGGGATGAGATGGTATGGAGGGGGGGGCAGGAGAGGATAGATACCACCACCCTTGGAGCAATGGGCACCTGGGCTGGCAGGGGACAGTGCTGGTACCTGGGGATCATCCATGCCCTTGCTCGTGCTCTGAGCTTCTGGGATAAGGCTGGTACTGCCAGGAAGGTTTCAACCATAGGGTCCCTTATTACCCTTCTGCATCCCTCAGCAGTAGAGCATCCCACCCTCTGATGGGTCCTGGCTGGCGCTGTCCCGAGTCTGCCCTGAAGAAGGGGTGCCCACAGCTGTCCTGAGCCCCTAGTGGTCCTGCCTCACCCCCTGGTCAGGTCTTTGGTGGGTGCACTCAGGTGGGGACCTATCGATGAAGGTCAAGAGAGGAGGTTGGTCAGTGAAACCTGTGAAGTAAAGCATGTGGGACTTACGTGGGAATTGCAAAGGAGACCTTCAGGTCCTTCCCCAGGACCTCGATGCCAGCCATCGCCATCTTCAGCTGGTCCTTCCTTTGGAGATAGCTCTCGGAGTCGGAGGCCATAGCAGTGATGTACCATTTCCCTGCAATCTGGTAGCAAGAGCAGACTGTGAGTCTGTGGGAGCAATTGGGAGTGTCACCTCCTCAGGGATCAAGGCAGGACACCCTCAGTCCATGGGACACCCACATCCCTTCCAGGCAACAAAGTCTCCTTAGGGACACTTATGCTGGAGCTGGGTGACCACCCTCACCTGGGTGTGACAGCAAAGCAACGGTGGCTGCAGTGTCCCCAGCTGTTCCCAGTACCAAAACACCTCTACAGTCATCCCTGACTGCTGGTGACCAGAGTCCACCCTCCCACCTTCTGTTCCCGGGATGCTGCAGATCACCTTGCTCGTGTCCAACTCCCCAGCCCCGAGGTCCTCAGCCTCCACGTGCAGCAAGCAGATCAGGGCCAGGCCCAGGCCCAGGCTCAGCCCCACGGTCCTCATGTCACCTTAGCTCCAGTGGGATGAGGAGTGGTGCTGGGGCTGCCGCATTTATATCTCAGTGCTTTCCTCCCACCCCCCCCTCAGCCCCCCCGCTGCTGCATGCGCGAGCTGGAGCTGCGGCACACGTTGGGATTGGTTTGGACAAGGGGTGGGGGGGGGTGAGGGGGGGGGGCAGGGCTTCGGGAGGGCAGGAGTCAGCCAGGGGTGAACAAACCCCCGGGGCAGGGGGGAAGTGCCTGCCAGCCCCAAAACAGAGTTACAGGAACTGTTGCACCACTGCTGAAATTTGGGATTTTCCCCATTTCTTTAGTGGATTGTGAAAGAACAAAGCGAGCTGTTGTTTTCCAACTGGCTTCCGGAAGGCTGCTGGGAGGAGCAGGAGGTTCTTCCCGGCACAGGTTCCAGGGGCAGCACCGTTACCCACCAAGGGGCACAGTGACCCATCCTTCTGGCCAGGCTGGAACCTGCCCGAGGCAGCCGCTGGGATCCTGCCAAACCCAACCATCCACATGCTGCTGGCACAACCTGACCCGTGGTGCCTGCACAGGCTTCCCCACCTGCTCTGAGGTGCTCAGGGCCTGCAAGGCAGGGTGCACCCGGAGCAGGGCAGGCAGAAGAACGGGTTCATGTCACTGTGAGACTGTGTCCCTCCTTCTCACAGTGTGATGTCCCCTGTGCCCCTGCTCCGTCAGGCTCCTGGGGTCACAGCCCCACACCTGCCTGGGCATTGAAGGACCCCCACCCTGAGGCAGGGAGGGAGTGGGAGAGACCAGGGCCTGCCTCCACTCCACAGGAGGCGGAGTGGGATGAAAAGCGCCCACAGGGCTCGTGGCAGCATAGTCCTACTTTGGTCAGTGGGCAGATGGGGGACCAAGAGGGGTGGCAGACAGGCATGGGTGTTCCAGGCCTGCTATGGGCAGCCATGGTGCAGCTTCACTCCCAGCTCGGTGGTCTGGGAGGGGACTGAGCAGGGAATGCGGTGTCCTGCGTGTGTCCCTGCAGGCAGTTCTGGACAGCCTGACTGCTTAACACTGTCTGCCCAGAGCTGCTGCCCCCCCCAGCCAAGCTGTGCCAGCCCCTGGTCACCCCAGCTCCATTCTCCCCTGCCCTGGCAGCTGCACCTTCCCCATCCCCTCTGCTCCCCATGTTGGGCACACCAAACATCACAGCACAGGAGCCCCCCAACACCCCTGGGGGGCTGACAGGAAGGGTCAGCTCCAGGGCCACTGCACTCAGGGTGCCTGGGGACCCTGGCAGCAACCCTGCTCCCACCAACAAAGCACTGAGCTCTGGGACAGCTTCTGCATCTGTTTATTTAGGAGATCGAGGGGTGATCCTGGTGTGGGGCAGGGGGTCCGGCAGAGTTCAGCTGGGAAGGATGGGAAGGGGGCACCACAGAGTGGGGATCAGAGCCCAGTGTCCACCAAGTCTGGAGGACACAACAGCCTTTAGCTGCAGAGACAGGATAGACAGATGAGTGGTTAGAGCAAGGCAAAGCTGAGGTGACGCAGAGGCAAAGCCGAGGAAGGTGGGGGGCCCCCAGTGGGCCGCAAGTGCCTGCTCAGCCCTGGCCGTGCTGGGAGTGAGTCATGGCTTCCCCTGGACACACTCACCTGATGGCCTTGGTGCACTGGTCTGTTGGAAAGCAAAGAGAGGAGTGAGTGTGCCACGGGCAGCACCCTGAGCCCCCACAGTGTCTCCGTACAGAGGGGCCACATGTGCCACCCCGTGCCTTCAGGGCACTCACCCGACTCGGGCAGGATGGCCAGCATGTCCTTGGTCAGGCCCACGGTGGGGACGAGCTCCATGAACTTCTGCAGAAGCTGGGGACTCACATCCTGCTCCCTTGCTGCAGCCAGACATGCAAAGTGGGGGCTAGTGAGTACAGGGAGTCCTGGCAGCCAGCCCCACCCCAGGAGTCCAGCTACCACAGGGCAGTGACTGGGCCCCAAACAAGGGCTAAGGTGAAGCCATGAAGGTGCAGAGTGGACATCAGGCAATCCACAGTGCCCTGGGCTGGCAGCAAAGGGGCACAAGCCCCTTGGGATGAGTGACCCATCTGCCTGGGGTGCTATGGGGTGGCTGGCAGGGTTGGGGGTCCACAGCTGAGCTGGCACACTGCAAGGAGGTCTGGTTCAATCCACAACCAACCAGAGATATCTTTGGTGAAAGGTTTCATTCACCCCAAAATTAATTCTCGGAGTACTGGACATTGGGTACTGGTGGTACTGGTGGTGGCCCTGGGTGGTGGTGGAGAGCCCAGCCCTCACTCCCCATTGGTGCCCCCATCCCTTCTCGGAGTTGTGGGTGCCTGTCCCTGCTCCAACACCCACTGAGGAGCTGCAGCGCGGTGCTAGGCTCTGTCTCGCTGTGATGGGCCTCGTGCAGGATGGCATAGTGGCTGTAGTCTGTCTCCATCACGAGCAGGTCCCTCTTCTCTTGTGCTGCTAAAGGATACCAGAGGTGCCCAGTTGGGTAATGTGGTACAATCTGAGCCCTCCTGGGCCCCACTGCTTGAGCCCCAAAATTGTCCGAGGGGAGTATGAGGAGGGACCCCCTGAGTGATGTGATGGAGCTGGGTGCCCACCCTCAGCATGACCCCTCGCTGAGCAGAGAAGGCAGAGCAGCCAAGCCCACCTCCCGCTGCTCCCCAGGCACGGGGCGCACCCTCTGTTTCAGGGTACCCATGGCTCCGACCCACCTGACCTCACGTACCCATGTAGTGCCCTGCCTGCCCGCTCTGCTGGAAGAGCAGCTCAAACTTCTGGCATTTGTCCAGCCTGGAAAAGGAACGTGGAAATGACAAACGTGGCTGGATGTCACGAGGGAGGGCAGTGGGGTGGTGGGTGCAGGAGGGAGCCCAGCCTGCCTGGGGCGTGTACTGGGGTTCAGGCAGGACTGGGCACTCTGGGGCAGTGGGTCTGGGGGAGGTGCCGTGGTGGGGAGGGGAGTCCCTGGCCCACGGGGGACGTGGCGAGTGGGACAGACACTCACAGGGGCCAGACCAACTTCATGGCCAGATCCCCCTCTGGTGTGAAGCTGATGGTGGTGATGGACGACTTCATCCCGTCCTTCATCTTCAGGAAGACAGAGCAGTTGGAAGCCGTGGCTGTGACATACCACATCCCTGCAAACTGCAGCACGACATCACCGGTGGGGTTTGGGAAAGCAGTGGGGACCTGCTACCTTCCAGGGGGACCTGTCCCCCACCATGGGGAACCTGGCAGCCTGTTGTAGGAATCTGCCAACCTGCAGTGGGGGACCTGCTACCCTCTGTGGCGACCAGCCAGACAAACATGGCAGCCTGCTACCTTCATGCTGAACACCCTGCCCTGCCCCATGCCAGGAGGGCAGGAGAGGCATCTGGTCCATGTTCCCTGGGGAAGTGCTACATGCTTGGGGACATCACAGCCTCAGGTGCTGGTGTCCCTTCAGTGGGGTCACTGCTGGCGCTGGACACAGCAGCCCTAACTAACCCTTTTTTCACAGGCTCTCCTGGAAACTACCCTGGTGTCAGCTCAGGGATGAGACCAGGGGGTCCCCGGGGGTGCAGCAAAGGCCCCCTGCCCCACCCAGCCCCTCCAGCCCAGGCAGAACGTGCCTGGCAGCACCCTGTGCTGTTACCTTCTCGGTGTCGAAGTCTGGCTGCACGGGGACCTCGGCCCCTGCCCGCAGCAGGCAGAGCAGGGCCAGCGCCAGGCTGGGCAGTGCCACCATCATCCTCGCTCTGGAGGTGGATGTGGGCAGGAGAGGCTGCACCCACCTTTATAGCCCCCACTGCTGGCAGCACCCCTGCCCGCCCTATCTTTATGCAACAGGTTACACAAGAGCAGGGATAACCTGTACCCGGGTTAGGTGACAGTGCTGGCCCTGTCCCCCCCAGTTGCCCGGTCCCGAATGAATGCAGCTTTGTGTGAAACCCTGCCCAGAGCACGCCGGGACTGGGTGCTGCCCCATGCCCGCTGCTCTGTCTGGGGAGGGGGGAGCTGAGCTGCCCCCGAGGCCCCCCTCGCAGCTGTTCCTGCTGGTCCCAGGGTCTGGCAGTGGTGGGACGGATCCCACCTCAGGATCCTCAGTGCCAGAAGATGGTTGTGCTGGTGGTTTTAGCCCAGGTCGAGCTACAGCCTGGTGCCCCTAGAAGGGGTGGTGACTTCCCAGGCTGGTGGTAGCAGGCTCAGACCCCGCTGCTGGAGAGGGTCCAGGCTCATGGGATGGAGCCCAGGGGGGTGGTGAGAGCTAAGCCACATCCAGCCCTCACAGATGTCCTTTTGCTTCATGTCCATCCTTCCCCAAATTTTTGGAGACCTCCCTATGATTGCCTGTCATCCCATTCCCACACTGCCAGCCTGCTCTCCAGCAGGGAACCAAGGCAGGGAAGGTGAGGGAGCCCAGGATGCCCAAGGGGACAGAGGGGAGCAGATCTCCCCAGTAGGTCCCAGCCTCAGGGACCCCTTTGCTTGGAACGGGGCATATTTAGTGGTCAGGCAGCACTGTAGTGTGGGGCTGCTAGTGCACAGAGGGCCCCAGCCCAGTGGCCCCATGGCTAAAAGCTGGGGTCAGCCCTGACACCGAGCCCCAGCCCCACCAGCCATACTTCCCCCTCCCCATTGCCCCACTGAGGCTTCCTCACAACAACCCAGCAGACAAGGGTTGGTTTTATGTGGGCTTTAATGGGCATGGGGGTACAGGTGTGGGGTGTGAAGCCAAGGAGCGAAGGCTGCTGCAGTGCTGTGGGGTGCACTGGGGTTGGGATGGGACAGGGTGGTCACCAGCTCGCGGCACTGTCAGGGCTCTGGCCGGCAGCAGCTGGTGGGATCACCTGGAAGAGATGGGAGGTGAGCACAGCTGAGCTGTGGGAGACAGGGTGACACATGCGGGGACATTGGCCCGGCCAGCCCCACACTGAGTGGGTGAGCACACACCACCCAGGGTCTGAGGCACCCCACAGGGTCAGGATGGGGAATCCCTCATAGGGGTAAGGAGAGGAACAGCCTGGGGAAGGGCTGGCGAGGGCTCTGTGGGATGCAGTGGCTCTGAACACCCCTGACCCTCCCGCAGGGCTGGTCTGACCCCCAGTGAAGGCAGGACTTACCTAGGCAGCATCTGTCATGCATTTGTCTGTGAGGGGAAGAAAAGGGGAGATCATCCTTAGCCCCCCCGAGGGACCATCTATGGGGGCACCCCATAGCTGGCCCCACACTGAGGCAGGAACAAGCCAGGAGGTTCTCCTCCCTCTCAGCCCCCTTGGGGTATCTCACCCCCTGCTCCCCACAGCCTCCAGCCTCACCTGTCTGGGGCAGGATGAGGATCTCATCGTCCATCAGGCCCTGCTCCCTGGAGAACTGGGTGAACCTCTCCAGGCGCTCAGGACTCAGCTCCTTGGTCCGGCCTGCAGCCAAGAGCAGGGTGAGGGGCAGCCCCACCGTACCTGCCAGCATGGGGGCACGGGCAGCCCAGCAAGGGGGTCCCGACCCTGCCATTATCCCAGAGGTCACCCCAGCTTGGGAGACGGTGCTGCCCTTCTCCCATGGGAGAGATAGACATTCCAGGAAGTCCTGGGGGGTGTACAGCATGGGGGCGCAGGGCAGACGTACTGTAGAGCAGCACCATGGTGGAGGGGCCGGTGCTCTTGGAGATCTGGGTGGCCACCAAGGCGTACTCCTCATAGTTGGTCTCCACCACACGGATGTCGTGCTTGCTGCCCCAGCCTGTGGGGGACAAGGGAGCAGGGCTCAGCCCCAGGCTCCAAATCCGCCCCAAGGCAGGAGTAAGGATAGTGACAGCAGGGCTGCCCCATGGTCAGGGGGCACTCACGGGTGCTGGTGTAGCTGAACCGCCCCGGCTGCTCCGTCTTGGTGTAAAGGCTGTTCCTCGTCACACACTGGTCACCCCTTTGATCACACACAGCATGAGCACAGCACAAGGATGTCAGAGTGGTGGGGCGATGCACCAGTGCCTCCCACCCTCGCACCCCCTCCCCACTCACCCCCTCCCCATGGCCATACTTGGGGTAGGTGGAGGTGACTTCCAGGTTTCCATCTGCGGTGGTGGAGATGATAGTGGTGCACATCTTCATTAGGTGCCTCTTCTCCTTGAACCAGTTAGAGTTGGAGGCCAGGCCGATGCTGTACCATCTCCCTGTGAGCTGCACACAACCTTCACTCAGCCCCAGCTGGGTGTAGACCCTGTCTTGCCCCTCAGCCCCCCACCAGCCCCAGCCCAGGCCACGTCTCTCTCCCCTGGCAGTGTCCTGGGGTCCTCATCCCCAGGGAGCTGCTACAGCTCTTGGTAACCACAAAACCCAGGGGCCAGGAAATCCCTGTTTCATGACGTGCCCTTCACTGCCCAGCACTTGGGTGTTTCCTTCCTCTTTGCTCCAAGACTGGGGAAGGTGACAGGACTGTCTGGCTCTGAGATGCCATTTCGGTCCATCTGGGGGCTCAAGGAGGGGTCAGGACCCTGAGTCCAGCATGGCTCATCCTAGCCCAGTCCCTGGGGCCAGCAGCACGGTGCCCTCCAAAGGGAACTGCCAGCCTCCGAGAGGGGCTGTATTGGGATCGCCCTTGCAGGACATCCCAGATGCCCATCTTTGCAGGAAGTGCCTCCATCCCCATCACCCCCTCGGGTGTCCGTGGCCCCCCAGGACCCTTCCAGAGGCAGAGCAGTGTGTGGGACACCTCAGCAGAGCAGCCCTTGTTTTTTGGGGGCCCTTGGCTGGGGTCTCTGTCAGGGAGTAGTTTCCATGGCCCATCTCCATGCTGACTCGGAGACTGAGATTGCTTTTCTCAGTCTTCTCTGTAAGACTCTTGAATAATCACACCCATTCTACAGCACAGCAGCAGTTCAGACCCACATCTAACCCATAGTTCTGCCCCACAGGCTGGAGCTGGGATGTTGGATCCCCTCCAGAGCCACCAAAACCAGGTATTGGGAGGTCCTCGGGATGGGGGGCTGTGTGGGCACCAGTGCCCTGCCCTCCCAGTGTCAGCCTGGCCCCACATCCATCTGCACCACCCTCTCCACACATTTTCAGGGCAAGAATCCCCCAAAACATCCCAAACCTCCACGCAGGTGATGCCTGCTGGGATGGGTCACCTTGTCCTGCTGGAAGTCGGCTTGGATGGGAATGCTGTCCTGGGCATGCAGTACCCCAAGCAGGGCCAGCCCCAGGACGCTGAGCAGCGTGGCCTGCATGGTCGAGCCGAGCCGAGCCGAGCTGAGCTGAGCCAAGCGAGAGCTGGAGGCAGAGCGCTGCAGTGCTGGAGAGTCCGTCGAGCCCCTATTTATGGACAGGCGGTGCGGGGGCCCCTGCGAGGGGCCAACCCTGCCTCCCCCCGTGCGTTATGCAAGCTGGAGCAGGGCTGAGCAGCGAAGCCAAAAGGCTCAGGCAGGGATCCTGAGAATGCAGCAGCCTGTTGATATGACGTGTTGCTCGGGGAGCCAAACTCCTCCGCAGGAAACAGCCGCCGCCGGAGCGGCGCCGTCCCTGGCCCCAGCGGCGCGCGGGCCGGGGCAGGCAGCAGGGCTGCCCACGGGCAGGGGCCAGGGCTGCCCAGTCTGCACAGGGTAGCCTCACCTGGACTCAGAAAGGGGCTCCAGTGAAGTGGAGGGAATGTCCAGTGCCTGCCAGGTCCCAACCCGACCCATGGGACTTGGGGACACCTGCGTGTACTCCTGTAGGACCCCCTGCTTTGCCCCGACTCAAGTCCCTGCATCACCCAAGGAAGCATCTCGGCTGGCCTCAGGACCCTTGGGGTGTGTCCCACCAAGGTGCAGCTCCGGTTCATCCCACTGGCAAGCTGGGGAGCCCAGATGCTCAGCTCCTCAGGGACCAGAATGCAGCCAGATGGACCCCAGCGTTTCACACCCCACCCGCCCCACCACTCTGCACCCTTTGCCAAGAGGGGCTGGAGTGCCCTCCCCCCTTGTTTTGGCGTCACCAGCAGGCGCTGAGATGTCCCCCCTTAATCTGGGGGCCCCCCTGCAGAGTGAGGGCAGAGGATGTATGCTGGGTGCCAGCAGCAGCACCCGTGGGTATGGCAGGGTTTGGGCAGGGCTGGTCATGCCGGGCAGAACCCCAGCCCCACACGGCCCTGCCAAGGTGCTTTACGTAAGGAGAATGTTTTCACAACAGCTGTTTTTCCCCTGGCAGGCCCCCCTGTACATTCCCTTCCCCACGCCCCGCTGTGAGGCCACCCTGCCCTGTGCACCCCCGCGCCTGCCCGGCCCCGTGGATTTATGAAAACAAAACAAAAGCTGAGCCAGGCAGGACTGAGCATCACAAGAGCCCGGCTGGGGCCCCGCATGCTGGGCTAGGACTCAGCCTCCCCAGGGGGCTCTCTCCATCGGGCACAGAGGTAGGGAGCACCCAGGGGTGTCACTGTCACCCAACACTGCAGCAGGAACACAAAGTCCCCCCTGCTGCCTGGGTACCCCCAGCTCCCTGCCCAGGTGGCAGCAAAGGGTGCCTGATGGATACTTGGGTGGTGCCCACTCTCCCAGCTCTTCTGGGTGGGGCAAAGCTGGGAACCAGCCCAAGGACCTGGGTGGCAATGCTGGGTGCAAGCTCTGGAGCATGGGGGCAGGTGGGGCCATGTGGGGGCAAAGGGGACACCGACAGCAGCACGGCACAGGATAAGCAGAGCTGGGGGGCAGGATGGAGTATCCAGGCTGTGGGTCGCCACAGCGGCTGGACACAGACTCTTGGACACAACCTGGGTGTTAGCCCCCACCACAGATGGGCTGAGATGGGACAGTGGGCATAGGGCGTGTGGGTTCCTTGGGGACCAGCCCAGCTCCCCAGGGCTCTCCCCTTGCCTCACATTGCCCTGCCACAGTGCAGCCACCCTGGGGTGCAGGTGGGCACAGGGCAGAAAGTGAGCTGGATCCACCACACCAGGCTCTGCCAGCCTCAGATGGTGGCCTGGGGGGGGTCTAAGAGCATGGCTGGACACTGTTAACCTCCACGTGGGTGGTGGGAACAGGGCTGGCTCTGGGCACATCACGTGGCGTCCCTTACATAATTCCCTGGTAAACAACATGTGTTACCAGTTCCCGCTCCAATTGCAAAACACCAGTGCTGGGGGCAGAGGGCTGCTGCCTGCCCCAGGGGCTGTGGAGGGCTGGGACCCCCCACCTGCCTGCTGTGGGGATGCTCCCCATCCGCTCCCGAAGCCAATGGCAATGGGCACCACTCGCCAGGCTCCACACACAGGGAAGAGGGGTCCCACAAGGGGCTGCAGCATTAACCCTGGGGCTCTCCCCTAATTGTACCCCTGGTCCAAGCCCTGCCAGACCCCCCAGCCTGGCTTTCCAAGGGGTGCTGGCTGTGTGGCAGGGGTTCCCCTTGGGGAACGCGCTCCACAGGGCTGGGGCAGGGGAATGGGCTGTTTCCCTGCCCTGGAGGCCCTGGACATGGGAAGGAGAAATGCTGCGGGGCTGAGATTTCCTCCTCTGGGGTCCCTGAGGGATATCCCAGCTTGATGGGGAAAAAGGCAGATGCTGTGCTGGTCCCCAGTGCCCCCCAGGTCTGTGCCTCCCATGGTGCCAGGCATGGTGCTGTTGCCCTCAGTGCCGGGTGCTCCCTCGGCCCCAGCCAGCCAGACCCACGTGCCCCACATCCCAGGAACCACCACAACTCCTGCCTCGCTGTCCCATAGCTGGGACAGGGCTCAGGGAGAGGATGAGGGGGGTGTATAGAAGGGGGTTGCACGTCCTCCAACACCCCCTTGGGACCCCCCAGCTGGGAGCACATCTCCAACTCAGAATATTCCGTGATGCTGTGATTCCAGGGCACTGGCAGCCCAGGATGGAGGCAGCGCTGGCCTGGCGGGGGCAGACCAAGAGGTGACTGGCCTGGACAAAGGCTCTTCTCTGAGGTGTTTATTGGGGTGTTGCTGGCTCCTGCAGGACACTGGTGCACAGAGCACAGGGGTGACACAAGCCGAGAGGGTGCAGGACCAGGATGGATGCAGCTGCCAGCACAGCTGGAGGCACTGGAGAGCCCCAGAGCTGGCTCCAGGGCTGAGGTGCAGCAGAGGGGGATGAGCAAAGCACAGCTCAGACCCGCGTGGCCATGGGCAGCTCAATGAGGTGAGGGGTGAGCTCTGGGGAAACCCCGGCAACTCCATCTGCACCTACAGCTTTGTTTCTGGAAGGAAGAGAAGTGCTGAGGGGCTGGGGGGTGTCCAAGCCTAGCACCTGGCCTGGAGACTCACCTCTGCCTTCCCAAGCACCAATGACAAGTACTGGAGCTGTCTCCAGGGACCCAGCCTTCAGCCCAGGGTGTCCCTGTGCCAGGACACCCCATCCCAGACCATCCCGGGTAACACCAATATAGACCCATCAAGCCCAGTGTGAGCCATGTAGGGGTTAAATGGGGTTTGCTTTGCCAGGATGCACCTCATGCCCATCCTGGGTGACTGCCACCTCCTCACCCCACACAAGGGCACAGAGAGACCCTGTCCTGAGGGACGGTCTGGCATGGCTGCCCCCTGCCAGGCCAGTGCCCCCATGCTCCTGGGGCAGGACCGCACAGCTGTGGTGTGGTGTGGGTCTGGCCCAGTGTGCCCAGCCCCCAGCCAGGACAGGCAGGCCCCACTGGTGCCCAGTGTGGGGCCAAGCCTAGCACATGGGGGTCCCAGTGCACCACCCAGGATCCCCAACTCACCATCCAGGACATGAAACTCGTCTGCGGAGTCGCAAAACCCTGCAAGAGACAGAGCCTGAGGGGGTCACCCTCCCTGGGACCTGGCACCCCTCCACCCTGCACCCCCAGGACACTGTGAGGTACAGCCCTGGTCCTTGCATCTCTGCCCCTGGGGTGGCCACAGCATGAGGACAGACCCCACATGTGCCCCTGCTGTGGGTGACACGGGGCCATGAGCTGCTCAGACCCCTGGGGATGTACCTCCCCCTCCCCACACTGGAGGGGCCGGACCCCAGCCCCTGATGCTAGGCTCTGCCTCTGGGTGCAGCCACTGCCACGGGGTCCCCTGCTCCCCAGGGACCAGGTGCCACTCACCGTAGGTGGGGAAGTAGTAGGTCACATCCTCACTGAGACCCACAGCCCTCACGTGCTTTTCGAACTTGTCCGCGACGGCATCGCTGACCCGGCTGGTCCGTCCTGCATGGGGGGAGACACTGCCAGCGGCCTCGGGCCCTGCCTGGCCCTGTCCCAAAGCCCCCCATGTCCCTTCGCAAAGCTCAGGGCCCTGGGGGTCTTTCAGTTCACAGAAGTGGGTTTCTGGTTCCCCCCTTACCAGCTCCCCCTTCAGCCTTTGGGGACAATTGTCCAGCTGGGGAGTGACCCTCAGGAGACCCCATTCGCATGTTTGGGTCCTCTGAGGCTCCGGCTGCCATCCCTTGAGCCCAGCATGGGTTTCCCACCCCTGTCCTTCACCTGCCACAAGCCCCTGAGCCTTGACCCACCATAGAGCTTGACAGAGATGCTACGGCCCTTCTGGTAATAGAGGATGGCAAAGCTGCTGGGGTCCATCTCACCTACCACCACATCCACCTTGCTGCTGTGCCCATGGCCTGAGAAGGACAGAGGAGAGTCCAGTGAGTCCTGGTTAACCCTGCTTAGCCCTGGTACCATGCAGGGTATTGTTTCATCATAAACCAGGTGTACAAGGGGTGAAAATCAGGGCCAGAGTGGGGCAGCCCCACAGGCACCATTGCTCCCCCAGGAGGCACCAGCCCATGGCATCACCCGTGATGGTATCTGGCACCTAGAGATCCCAGTGGTAAGATACTGAGAGGGCATTGGGAAGAGGGACACTGGTACCAAAGCCCTGCCCAGAACAGCAGTGGGGGGCTCCAGCAGCTCCCCTGCCACCCCAGCCTGGTGTCCCTCACCCTTCAGCAGGAAGCGTCCAGGGGCCTGGGCAGGGAGGTACCGCTGCCTGATTTCCCAGCACATCCCATCCCTGCACGGGAAGACAAAGAGATGTCAGCACAGGCTGGGGAGGATCCCCCCAGGTCTCTGAACGCCCTGCCTGCCAGGGCACACACGCTGTTTCCTTGGGACTTTGTTTTCTCCCCAGGGAAAGAGATGTCCCAGAGCCCTGTCAAGACATTGTGAGAGATAGTGAGCCCCAAAACCTGCTGAGCTTGAGAGGGTCCCTGCCCCCTCCCTGCAGCACTGAGCCTGGTCAGCCCCTCAGGGCCCATCAGGCCAGGGGGAAGTGCCCACAGATGTGAAGATCCCTGTCTTTAGCTCTGCTGCCCCTGGGGTGGCCCCAAGAGCCAGTTCCAGGCTGGCCTGCGGAGGCACCGTGTGCCTCGGTTTCACCAGCCTGCCTGTCCCTAACCCTGAGCCCACCCCAGGTCAGTGGCTGGGGGTGGCAGGGTGACCATTGTGGCCAGGGCTTCTACTACAAAACTTCACAGAGGGGATCCCACCACACTTTGCTCTGGGGCAGCTCTGTCCTCCTTGGAGCCAGAGGCCAGGGCACTAGCACTGCTCTGACTTGCCTGCAGAGTTCCCATTCCACCCAGCGTCCCCTGCCTCCATCCCGGTCCTGCTGTGACCTGCCTACAGCACCCCTGTTCCTGCCTGTGGCCCCCCTGCCCACTGTTACTCACAGCTTCCTGAGGGTGCTGATGGCAAGGCTTTGTCCGTCCAGGACGGTCACCATCACTGTCGTGGCCTCCAGCTGGTGGCTGTGCTCTGCCAGGTGGCTGCAGCGGGAGGCCACGCTGACCAGGAACCACCTCCCTGCGAGCTGCATGGCACAGGGGTGACACCATCTACAGAGCCACCAGCCCAGGGTGCCCCCACTCACCCCGAGCACCCACTGTCCCCTCACTTGGCACCTCTGCCCACAGCCTGTCCCTTGGGGTGTCCCCAGGACACGACCGCCCTTTGTGATCGGGTGGGTGGGATGGCAGGGCAGAGAGAAGCCTGGCATGGGGATAGGCTGAGGGCTGTGTGGGGGTGTCTAAGGCACCTGCCCATGGCTCACACTGCCCACGGGGCTGTGGGCACCCCCGTCCCACCCTGGGTGTGTGCTGGGTCTCACTTGATGCTGCAGTCCAAGCTCACCCCAAGCCTCAGAGCGACGGTGGCTGCACCCACAGCCGGGGTCTGTCTGGGGGAGCACAGGGGTCCCTCCGAGGCTCCGGCCCCCGCACCTGCCTCGTAGGCAGCCCTGCGGGCAGTGCTGGGGCTGAGCTGGGCTCTGCCACCCCTGCTGTGTGCGGGGGGCACGGGGGGCTTGAGCTGGGGGACGAGCTGGGAGACTGAGGGTCAGCCCTGGAGGGGAACAGAGGGGAACGGGAGCCCCCACACTTCCT